GCGCCAACTGAGGCGGCATTCGATAAATTCCTTATTTCTGAATGGAGTCAAAACAATGCGCATTAAATTAGTCACATTGTTGGCTAGCGTATTTTTTCGTTGCTCTATAAGTCTATTTCATTAAGATACAAGCATGCGCGTACTGCAAAGAGGTAAAATGAATGTGCTCGAAAAATTACCCGTTCACCTCAACAAATAAAGATGACGCTGTAACCTTATAATAGTGGGTTTTAGAAATCATCGGTAATGCATCTTTTTCAGAAGTTTTTAACTGCAGATTCATTCTATGATTTAAAAATTTTTTTAGATTTATGACAAATAGTAGACTTTTATCATAATGGATGAAAAATAAACGATTATTGTACTAGTTTTTGGTAACGACTACAATTCCATCTCAAATTTCCCTTTTATAATACAGAACAAATCAATATTAACAATTTAAATATATATATATATATATTATTTGTATAGCACAATTCTGCTATAACTAAATTGTAGGATGCTATATTATACAATGAAAATATCATCAAATGACGGTAGAACTCACCGTTGAGGTAGCAGGTGCTGAGTGCGGCAGAGTGGCAGAAGGCTGAGCAGGTCGAATTCGCATGGCACTCTCGAGCGCACGCCATCTGGCGTGCAAATGAAAAAAATGTTCTCGAGCATTCATCATCACTTAGTTAATCCAAAATTTCGATAAAGAAGATGTCAATTAAAATATAAAGCGTCCGCTTGAGTCTTTGATGTACATTTCAAATAAAGTTCTTCTTGTAAATGCTTTGGACAATTCCATTATATTCGACTACCTATTAACTTCAACAGTATTAATTAATAGAAACATCACCGAGAATAAATATTTTGACAACAATTATTTTACCCATTCGTTTTGAAAGTGTCTGCTGTACGCGAAATGATGGGATTCTGTTTTTCGTTCATCTCACCTTGGCTTTTAAGGACAGCTTGGCGAAAGAAGTTTCAATACAAGCTTCTTCGACAGCTCTGAAACTCATTCCTTCATTACTCAAAATTACACCAGAACTTAGTGAGCTATATAATAGGCATAAAATTATCGAGATTTCCAACTTGAAGGACATGTTTGCACTTGTCGGCTTTGTATTTGTAATGCTTTGTAAACTAGTATTTACATTTTCCGATCCCTCAGCAAACTACCTGAATTTTTTGTCTTCTTATCCTAAAATTTTCTTAAACATCATGTTACATTCATGGGCGATGCTGAAGTTACTTTGTTATTTTAGGCACACTAATCAAAAACGATTTTAAGTGATATCTGAAAAATGATTGAATTTACATGAAAATATATGGTCTATTTTTTAATATGATAAACGCCGACTTAATAGACCAAAATTTTTTATTTTTAAACATTTTCCCCGCAACAAATTTCAATTTATGAAGTTTCAATTACATCTCAAATATTAATTCGAGACATGCAATCATAAGCAGCAATATGCAGGTTCCGTCTTCAAAATTTTTATGTATGCCTTGAGCTTTTCATATCTATGGGTGTATTCTATGTGTTCACAGTACGAAATTTACTGTCGACAGTCCTTGAGTTGAATGTCGCGGTTCGGAGTTCACAACAGAAATATTTTCCTGTATGCTGTTAAAATTTTCTAGTCTGCATGTATTTTATGAATTTATAGTACCAAATACGAAACTTAGTGTGGACGATTCTCGAGTTGAACTCCGCGTTGCACCAATAACTGTCTCTCGCAACCATCTGCGTTCAACCAAAGTGGGTAAATGTAGATTTTCTACAGCAGACAATCCTTATAAGCACATTCAGTCGTATTCTTCCACGTCGAACCTAATAGAGCATTTTGCGCGCAGTTAATAGTTTGGGGAATCGTCCAGCTTAGTCATTTGGGTGCTCGTGGCTAATCAGTTAGCCCATAATTTCCAGCAATCAATCAAACAATAAACAATAAATGTTGACCTTTTGTGTTGGTGCTAAAACTACTCTGAAATCATCACCACTGAGCTCTGATCATGAAGGCAAACAAAAAATTTTTATAAGTTTGAAAAGGATTTATTATCGGATCATTACTTTTTCCACAAATGCTTTGGGAGATATTGATGCACCGGAAAAATGTGTAAAAAATGTGCTCTGTATGTTTGCAGTGAATTGAGATAACACAGACAAGAACACATTTTATGTTTAGACCAAATTCTTCGCACGACGATAGTTTTAGTTGATACTCGATCGAATCTGCCAAATCAGTTTCATTTACATGTTATTTATTACTATTTAATGTTTTGAATAACCCGTTATGTATAACAATACTTACATAAGAGAAATTTTTCAGCACCGCTCAAATAAATTTGTCATTCTTATTTTACATCAATTGCTGCAATCACTAAAGGGCATTTGATCTTATCTAACTTAAAAATACCATACGACAAAATTTACAATATGTTCTTTCTAACTGTAGTTCTAAAATTTTACTCACATTTTCCGAAAGATCTGTTTATTCGGATTATCCTTGTAGTCGGAATCTTGACTTCCTTGATAATGACCACCAAATTATGACTTCCTTAATCTGGCCATGCATCAACTTGATGGAATTTGTGAGTAACGTCATTTACGAATTGATTGTTGGCTGAAATACTCACAGCCATTGTTGATATCTTTACGAAAATTGTCCTACTTCGGCACTTGTTTTATTTCGACACGTGTAAGTCGTTCTGAGAAAACATTGTTGTCATCTTCCAATCAAATGCCCACGAAAGCCTGCGTAAATACATTAGTTGCAAAATTTTAAATTAGAATATTTTTGCTAGCCATGGATGAGTACACGATCAGTAGTGATGAAATGGAAAAAATTTGATCTATTCATTTTTTAACTCATTGTACTCATAAAATCAGATACCTTATATGTCGTGCTTTGCAAGCTTCATTAAATGTTGGCACATACATATATTTGGTGAATCTTTATCAGTCTCTAGAACTTAGTAATTTTTTTGTTGCGTTTTTTACAAAATAATAAAAGTCATCATTTCATTTTTTTCCGTTTCCAGGGATGGTCTTCCATTAATAGAAGAGATGGACCTCCAATCTAAAAATTTTATTTTGGCAAATGAGACAATTACAGAAATGCTCATTCAATAAGTTTTGCATTTATTGCGTATTCTTCTTCTCCTGTAGCGCTCAGAAATTCTAAAAGGAGCGAAATTTACAACAAATTAATGAGTTCCTAATAGTAGATAGTATGAGGGGTGTATCGTCACAATCTGCATAAACAGCTTAAATCATAGGTTACCACAATCTTATTTCGAATCTTACCCAACAAAATTAACCAATTACCCCTGAATAAAACCTCCTTCAATATTATTACGAACACAAAAATTGACCAATTACCCCCGAATAAAACCTGGTCATTTACCAGGCTTGAGTCATTTGAGTCATTTACCAGGCATGAGTCATTTGAGTCTAACCTGCTTGAAACCGTGAGTCATTTTTTTCATGGTGCTCACCAGCTAGTAGCTGAAGGCATTCTCAAATAAGCCTCCACAAAACTCGATCCAGATCCAGGACCGGTCTAGCAGAGCTAAATGCATTGCTAATATCGAGAGTGTTCTAGAACATATTTGTCCTCGACCGCTAGTTGATCTGTAATACATTCGGTGCTGAACTCCCGTCGAGTGAGGATATTTCATATGGTGATCATTTCTTATTGATCGCGTAGTGAAAATATACAGAGCAAATAAGCGCCTCAGTTTAGCATAGTTACTCTATGTACTTAATTCAGAAGGTCACTTCATTTTCTTATGATACAGCTCATTGAAAAACTGGATTTTCAGTTATGGCTCACTCATTTTGCGTAATATTACCACCGTTCTCTCTCCTGCAACGACAGTTTCATACCATTAAAGCCTTTGTATGTGCTATCGAACTCATATAGTTTGCTTATAATATCAAAATTCATTACCAACGAATTTCGGGAATTCAAAAGTAAAATTTTACATCTAGTTTATAGGACTTCGATAGCAGAGTGGCTAGCAACGCATATTGGTAGTTGCTACTCTAGGGTTCGATCCCAAGCACCTCTTGAGGTATTTGCAGGTCTTGCGCCAGTGGGCGGAGACATGGGAGGAGCTGTGAGGTGGTGATTATCGTGGCGCACGCCGTGCGCCACCGAGAACAATGCTGTCGGTGATTAACTATACGTGCATGAAAGAAAAAAGAAAGAAAACGTGAAATTCTTAGAAACGTCGAAAAAAGGGGTACTGTAGAAATCTATCTCCTCCTAGGATTTTAAAGCTACAACATTGAGACGCATATCATTCGATGCGTAAAGACCATATCTATCGATTGATTGTATCTCTTTTCGGAATTCCAATTTTTGTGGGTGAGGGGAATTTTTCATAAATTTGCCGTAGATCAAAAATCGAAAAACCCCCATTGTTTGATGATTTTGGGGGTAATAAGATGATTTTGACACCGATGGATTTGTCAATGTCAGCTTTAATATGAGCATAAAAACCGGAAAAGCCAAAATCTTTGATTTTGAACAGATGCTCCCCTTAACCTTAACTTCAGTATAATAATTCAATGTTAATATATTATGGGCAAATAAATGTATTAGAACAACAGAATTTTTTCAATGTGTTTTTAATTTTTTCTTTATAAAATGAGAGCTAACGAATCATCTAATGTATGTCATGCGAAAAAACACACCTTAAGTACCAGCCACCTTTGGATAAATTTTTTAAGTAAAATGAGAGTTTATAAATCATCTTTTGTAAATCATGCGAAAAAAACATCCATTTAATGTGAAATCTCTTTGGATAAATTTTTTAAGTAAAATGGAAGCAAACATTGTCAGCATGAAACACAGTGAAGTTTGTAACACAGTGGTTAAAAACCTAAAGAAACCTATAGAAACTCAAAAGCATCGTAAGGCAATTAACAATTCGATCATATCAAATGCTGTAAGGAATTTTTCAATTCGCTACATAATAAGGTTAAGCAAAGATTTATAATAAGAGAACCATCAAATTTTATTAGGAGAGGTTCAAGGTTGGATCTTCTTAATTGGGTCTTCATCCACGGGAAGCGCCGGAAGTTTTGATGGTAATTAAGTATTCATCCAGAGAAGAAGTTAAGTAGGAAGACCAGGCTCCACAATTTAGTTCAACTGGACATCAGAATTTAGAGTCTTCAGAATGAATAGAACCAGGTAAAGGCGGGGTCGGTGCTGGCGTCACAGGAACGGAGAAGTTTATACTGTTAAAGAAATTAAACAAGTTATAACACGAGTAGTTATGGTACACAAATAGTGACAAACGCAATGATTATGGCAGTATATATCATAATGTTTAAATGAGAGTAATGGCACACACCTAAATCTATTCGGGATTCAGTGTTGAACCGTAGTTACAACTGCTAGGCTTAATCAAGGAATGAAACCCCTAACGAAAGAGGAGTGTAAAGTTGGAGGAAGGCTCACCAGAAAGGACAGGCAGGACAGTAGGAGGTTCAAATGCACGGGAAAAAGTTAGAGGAATGAAACCCTAAACCTCCATCTACCTATACTAGACCCTAAGCAAATGACCATAGTTAATTTATCCACCTTAAACGTCCCAAATGGAGGTTATCCCAAAACGTATATTATGGTGAGCCTAAGATAAATCCTACCTAGATAATACACGAGTAATAAATAGTTAAGTAAATACTGCTAGAAACCACATTCACACAAAATTATAAGACAGTAGAATAAAGGTCTCAGCAAGGATTAGGAGCCTGTGGACGCTGAAGATGCGTAGTCCAATACTCAGGTCGCAGGTAAGATTAGAGGAGATGTTGCTCAGTCGGCTGCCGGAACGAATCTGAGCTAATTTGAAGGTGAGCTACCTCGTCACCTGGGCAACAAATGAAGGCAGCAATGCATTCGAAAGTGGTAATTTCTTACAATGCATACTTCAATACAAAGACAAAATGCGTAATATGTAATCGCGAAGTTCAAAACTTGAGAAGGCATGAACGAACAAACGCTCATAGAATACGTCGAAATTATAGCATAATAGCCAGTTCTTTCTTCTATTGTAATCTTTGTAATTTGGAAGTGGACGATATTGGAGTACATGAAGATTCAAATGTCCATTTTAAAAATAAATTTGAATGCATGAGAGGTGATATTAAGAAGGCTGGAAATGATAAACGCGCAGAACATATTTATCCTGATATAAGAACGATAGATCCTAAGTTATTTCTCAAGAATATAACATCTGAAGTTATTCAAGTAATTAAACAGTCAAAATTCTATAATATTAAATTACAGCTGAATTTGCAAGTCGAGTTTTATAAATTTGAATTAGGCAGTGAGAAAATCTATAATACCGCTTAGTTCAATTCAAACTAGTTTATAGGACTTTCAAGGATTCACATAAATTACAATACAATTAAAAGACTGTACGATAATCTGATACATAAAATCGAAAAATTTACGAATAACTCTTTTGGATGGATATTAAACAAGTGGCTAAACTTCACAATTAAAATTGTTGAATACAATCCTTTAAGAGGTTCTAGCTATATTGAATTGCCTGCAAAATTGAGACATCCAAAATATAAGTTAATAAATATTAAAAACCAAGATAACATGCGCTTTAAGTAGACGGTCGCGCGCCACTTCTACAGGGATGAAAAAAATGGTAACAGAATAACGAAAATATTAATGAAGAAAGCTGAAGAGTTAGATTTGGCAGATATTAAATTCCCTGTGAAATTATAGACATCGATAAATTTGAAAAGATTAATAATATATCTATAAATCTATATAGCTTGAATTATTGTTCGGAGCTATGCTCACTTCGAATAACTAAAACTAAAAATAAAGATGTGGTTTTATTATTGTTAATAACAAATGAGAATGGATGTCATGGGAACGCAGCCGTGCACCACAAATTTTGTACACCAATAAGCCCTGAATCGAACGCCTTGGATCTTTCCGGACATCCACCAATCAGCCTTGAATAGAATCTGCTATCCGTAACCGATCATTGACATCCTTCTGCTTTGAATATTTTGAGCTCCACACCCCCCAGACACGAGGTCGAATAGCCTATGGGCAGGAGTCATGATAGTCCATTACATCCAGGGCAGTGGTGGTCTTCGGCAGGCTTCCCGATGTCATTATGTCCTGATGAGATCTTCAAGTCCATTTATTCAAAAGGCGAGTCATAGAACTAAATATGTATGTCCATACTGCCTGCATACATTTATACGTGAAGACCTACTTGAAAAACATAAAGATGATTGCTCTGTTCACACACCCGTCAAATATGTTTTTAGTGATGAGAAACTAAAATTCAAGGCCTTTCAAAAGACTATCAAGCATCCCTTTGTAATTTACACTAATTTTGAATCGACTTTGGTAGGTATTGATTCATGTCAGCCAGATCCCAAGTCGAATTATACTCGGAATATTCAAAAGCATGAGCCTAATAGTTTCTGTTACTAAATACTAAATGCGAGGATGATAGGTACTCAAAGTTGGAGTTATATAATGGTGAAGATGCATCGGAAAAATTTGTAGAATATCTAGAAGCAGAAGCAAAACGTGTATATGAATTATTAAATAAATATCCAAAAAAAGATGTTCTTATCAAATGAAAAATATCGTGAACACAGAAATGATACAGTTTGCTATGTCTGTCATGAAGAGTTTACTAAAGAAAACTATAAGGTTAGAGACCACAACCACCTAACGGGAGACTATAGAGGTCCAGAGTATCTCAAGTGTAATTTTAAAATTAGAAATCCTAATTTTATTCCAGTGTTTATGCATAACTTATCCAATTATGATTCACATCTGTTTATTAAAGAACTAGGTAAAGTGTCTGGTAAAATTAATGCTATACCAGAGACGGATCATAAATACATAAGTTTCACACAGACCATCTCCCTACTTTCACACGTGAGTTATTTATTATCTCTAAACTATTAGAAACGAAACCAGTAACTTATAGGTTGAAAGATATGATTGGGGAGGAAGTAATAGGAAGTTTTTACGGAGAAGAATTATCAAAATATAGCAGTGATGTTTATGAAATTGATAAAATTTTGAAAAAAGAGTGAAGGGAAATTGTTGGTCAAATGGAAGGGATATCATTATCCATCTTGGATTCCAGAAGCTGAACTAACATCAAGTTGAACTGGCATTAAGTTAAACACACATTGAGTTCAAAATGAACACACATTGATTTCAAGTTAATTGCGATATTTTACTTGATAAAATGGCGATAATTGATATAAAAAGTAAACAATATCTAATAAAATTAAAGATAGACTTAAGAAAACAATTCAAACAAGAGAAATTTTTGGAACAAGATTTATACGATGATGTAAAAATAGGATATAAGCCTCTAATTGAACCTCTCGCCAAAATGGTAGAAGAAACTAAGCAGACAAGGTTAGCTCTGAAAGATGCTTCTAGAGAATTATTACCAATCGAGCCTGCTGAAAGATTGGCATTAGATCCTCCAGACTCGAAAGAATCCGACTCAAAAGGACTAGTTGGTTCAATAGCTAAAACTTTTTGAGTCTAGCCTCCAAACCCGGATCTGAGTATGACAAAGTTTATGGCATAAAATTTGATGGGAAAAATGCCAAGCTCAGAGATACGATTGTCAACATCCAAGGTAATGATTTAGGGATTGGTAATAAAGTTTTTGAAGAAACTGTCGGATTTTGGGAGTTAGTAACAAAACAATCCCCTGAAAACTATGAAGAAAATAATGTTGCAAATTACCTAGCAATTTTGAGACAGACTAAGGCTCATCTCAAGCCGGATGGAACAATTAAAGCAAACAAAGGAGAGAAGTATAAAAAAATCATGAAACCACTCTATAAAGCGATGCAAAAAGATAAGGTGCGTTATGAAGTTGCTAGAATTAAAGCCTCAAGCCCAACATCATCTCGGGATTCAACTCCGGATTCAAGACTGGATACTGATTAAGATGTTTCAGGATCAGGAATAATAGTTGTACCATCTAACGTTAATGAGATTGTTGCAAGACATCATTTATTATTTGGCTCTCTGAATGCTGGAAACACAGGAATCTTTAATGAATTGCAGGCACTCACTCATGAACTTTTTAAACGAAATTTATTAAATGAACATGATGTTAAACTATTGAATGATTTTTGTTTAAGAAAGTGGAATCCCAATTAAAGCATAGTTATCACCGGTAGGAAAAGTGATATTTACACGAATTTTACACCAGCAATAAAATTGGATACAAACGAATTTCATGAACTGGCATTGGTGGGACTGGATATGTTTTCATATGTATCACTGTATCCCTAATATTGATCAGACAAAAAATAAATTTTATGTTGGATTATATGGTGGAGAAATCGTTATAACAGTTCCGACTGGATGCTATGAGATAGAGAGTATCAATAAGTATATTAAAAATGCACTTGGAGATGAAGATTCGATTGATATACGAGCGAACACTAATACTCAGAAATGCGTTATAACTATTCGTGATCCTGACTTGAAAATCTATTTCAACAAACCCAACAGTTTACATACTCTGTTAGGTTTTGATAGGGAGCGCAGCCGTGCACCACAAATTTTGTACACCAATAAGCCCTGAATCGAACGCCTTGGATCTTTTTGGCCATCCACCAATCAGCCGTGAATGGAATCTGCTATCCGTAACCGATCATTGACATCCTTCTGCTTTGAATATTTTGAGCTCCACACCCCCCAGACACGAGGTCGAATAGCCTAGGGTCNACGAAACTGTAGAAGGGTATTCATCGATAGTATGCTATCGAAGTCAGGTTTGAATTGTGGTAAAATATAATCATTTTAAAATGTTCCGTTTTAGTTAACTAGAGTACAAATGGTTGTAAGTTGAATAATTTTATTTACAATTGTTTAATTAAATTTTGGATAATAATTTGGTAATGTTTTGCTCTGTTATAAGACAATCAGTTCAACTGGTGAATATTCCCTAAAGCTGAAAGTTGTGTGGTATAGAAGACTTGGCTGCATGATTAATTTTATTAATAAGTACATTTTTAATTATATGCATAAAACTAACTTCATAAAATTACAAAGTTCATCTACGATTGCTCTTCTGATTACATGTTTCACCTGTACTTGAAAAAATTTCAAATCAAATTGAACAACATGTTTTAATAGAATGAGAGCCATGTTGCAAATTTTGTTGATGTCAAAGATTTTGACTTCACAGGAGTTGGAGTTTATTCTTGCAAGGATTAGTGATTTTCTATTTGATCCTGAAAGTATTTAGTGATGTACGTATATTTTCATTAGAAGCTTGATGTCTTCTTTCTAAGTTGAAGCCATTTGCTGCGGATGATGCTTAAAGAAGTTCTATTCTTACTCTCGCTGTAATTTAAACAGGTTGCCAAGTGGTTATA